GCACTTTTCAGTTTTTTATTTGTAAAAAATGTTTTGATTCATGTAAAATTTTGCTTCCACTTCACATTTGTATACCACTTTGTGTTGGTCTTTCAAATTAAATTCCAGTGAATTATATTTATGTTTGTCGTTGTAATGTGACAAAATATGGAAAAGTTCAAGGGGTATGAATACTTTTGCAAACCACTGTATGTTCATGCTGAGGGGAACAGAGTTATGGTATATGCTCACAAGAAAAAAACTGATATAGTTATGTTAACTGCTTGGTAGTGTAGCATATATTTTTACTGCCTTTTTTTTTTTACTTGTTTGCATTTCAACTTAAACAAATTTTACTTTTGACTTGTGTTTTTATCTCTTACCTTCCGTTTTGAGGGCTGCTCCAGCTTCAATGGGAATAACAAGCAGGGGGAAAATCCCACTGAGGCCTACAGCAACAGAGCCCACCAGGGACAGGAGCCAAACATGTGTGCGTTCGCTGGTTAAAAAGTCGGCAACCGTCTGGAGGCCGGGGAGGTCATCTGTTAGACTGGGCCCTGGTCCCGCAGCTGCAGCCGTAGCGTGAGCCATTGCGCTTTGTGTCATCTTCTGGCTGCTCAGCGCCCCCCTGGAGGTCAGCATCAGCAAAGCAACAGGGACAAGCAGAGCAGCTACAGCCCAGCTGGGCCTCCAGCAGCGTCCGCCGTTCATCCGTCCCACGGTCCAAACAGCACGTGCAACCAGTACTGCTGCAAGAAGAGCARACGTTCAAAACATGACGTTACTGCAAATGTCTCAATTTCTCATAGTTAAATGGTCACGCAGCCAACTTGCTAGCAAGTTTCTGTAACCGAACGCAGAGGAGAGCAAGCATTTAATCTAAATCTATTTTCCATTTCAAACGATCTCTGATGTCCTGTTCTGAATGTTCGCAGGTGTGCATTTGCAATTAGAGAACGACATCAACACTGAAAACTAATAGAGGATATATCACTTTTGGATTAGAGAACGAGGCTCCTCAGAGACAAATAATGCAAAGTAGGGCAGATGAAAAGCCACAACTGGGCTGGTATGACCAAACAATAGTAATAAATTAAATAAAGTGAACCATTTTAACAGCTGCAGGGACTCCTGCCAATGAAACATGCCAGAAAAACCTCCAAAAGAAGTGACTATTTGATGCCTGAGCTACAAGTGAGTATACTGTATGTACACTGTAGTCAGTGAAGTTTCTAGGTGTCATCATTGATGGGAAAAACTGACATGGAAAAATACTATAAATAATTTAAGAGCAAAAATAGCCTAATCTTTTAGAGTCCTGTGCAAAGTAAGAGAACTGTTCAATAATAAAGCACTATTTATGTTGTATAATGCTTTAATTATTCCACATTTAATTTACTGTATTGAAGTCTGAGGTAAAGCTTGTAAAACTATCACAAATCCTATTTTTATTTTACAGAAAAGAGCTATATAATTATTATAAAGTTGTCTTATCTTCCAACATTCAAGTAAATTTTATTAAAAGAGAGAACTGTTATTATCTTAAGGGAATCGAAATGTTTGTGAAACCCTGGTTTTGTAGGAGCCAGAAGGAGCGATCCACTTTAATCCAGGGAATAAGTTTGTGGAACGATCTGGAAAATGAGGTTAAAAATGCCAGATCTGTGTATGTATTAAAGAGCATGATAAAATCTAGTAATCTGAAGAAATATGTAGAAGTATAAGTGAATCCATGCAAATTGTTATTTGAGTTGGGGTTTTAAATTTAGCTTTGTTTTGTGTGTGTTTTCAGTTGTTTTGATTTTTTTGTTGTAATTTACTTTCAGTTTGAACATATTCTGGGGATAAAAATGGGCAGATATTATAAGATTTATTCTTCTTCTGCCTTTCGTTTTATTTGATTTTATTTTGATTGCGTGTTTTTTGTTCTTTGTTGTGTATATTATTACAAATGAAATGAATAAATTTCTAAATAAATACATAAAGTAAATTAAAATAAAATACAATATATCCTCTCCTTCCTGTTCGGGAACATCTCGGGTTTCTCTAGCGTAGGAGGAGCTGGAGAGAAAGCGATGCCTGGGTTTCCCTCATAAAGCCGTTGCCACTCTGAGAGCCTAACCTCAGACAGGCAGACAAAAATAAATGAATGAATGAGAAGCCTCAATTGCCACGATGACATCTAGCCACGTCATTTACAGGGAGTTCCCTCGCTCAGATGTCTCAGAAAGTTTCTGTAGAAATCAATACTTATCATCTAATTCTGGGTCACAAACTCCTATTGAACTACTGAGAACCTTGCAACCACATCTGATGGAACACGCCTTCTACTGTTCCTGACATAAATGGTCCATTTAACGGAGTCTTTCAGCTGTCAGAAAATATAATGCAGAGTGTCCTTTTAGTTTTACTGTTTGCTTTCTGCGACAGCTGGAAAACAGTGATGTAATTGCATATGCTCATTTGGTTGCAGCTGTTTAAGAGAAGAAAAGCTAAGCAAGATGTCAACGACAGAGGCACTACCAGCTGTGTTTCAACCAGCTGTTGACAGGAAGTGACCTGCTTTCAGGGATCTGTACCAGTCAGTTAGTCCAGGGTGTACCAGCTTCTAGTAGGTATGGGTTAGGGTTGTGGCTCACGTTTGTTGTCTTACACATAAATCACAACTCGTGTATATAGCAGGGGTGCACTGATTGCGGTTTTCAGGCCAACTGCCAATCTTTAAAAAGCCTGACAGAAACTGGCAGAGGTTTTACGGTCACAATACACCTTCAATATTCCAATCTTATTATATTGAAAAACATTGAACAATACGCTTGAAACAATAGAAACTTGTTATATTCGGGCAACAGCCTTCTCTCACCGCAAAGCAAAATGGGATACAGGGTGATTTTCAGACCTTTGCGGAGGCAAATAAGATCAGTGGATAGGGTTGGGCAAAATCGTATCAAGTGCAATTAATTATCAGAAAAACTTTGATTCTTTTTTGGCACTTGACGATTAATACGATTAACGCCGCCAGGCAGACTGACTGGAGATTTCCCCGGTCAGTCAAATATGATGAAGATTAAAAAAAAAGTTATTTATTTTTCATAACTCCAGTTTTACTTGGTCTATCAACACAATTTAAAAACTGATGTACAGCCTGAAGTCTGTACTTTTGCCACAATTTGGAACGGAGTTTTACAAAGAGCAAATCTTTCCCACTAGAGTGAATTAAATTGGTCATGTGACTAGGACATGCAGGCATCAAGGGTCTCCAGGGGTTTAATTGCCGTATTAATCGTTATCAGTTAAATACCACAATTAATCTTTTTTTTTTTTTTGCAAATATCGCCCAACCCTGTGGGTGGATAAGATCAGCTTCTTGTGTGATCATCAATCACAGATCTCCAAAAATTAAGGAAATATTATGTATATTTCCAGACANACATTTAACTTTTTCTATTGTTTTGGCCAATCTAGGCAAAGTCTTAAAATCTCAAGTTAAAAAAATAACATTTAGGGGATTTTTTGGGGGGTTTTAACACAGTGGCGGGTCATTTTGACCCGAAGACAACAGGAGGGTTAAAGAGCATGATAAAATCTAGTAATCTGAAGAAATATGGAGAAGTATAAGTGAATCCATGCAAATTGTTATTTGAGTTGGGGTTTTAAATTTAGCTTTGTTTTGTGTGTGTTTTCAGTTGTTTTGATTTTTTTGTTGTAATTTACTTTCAGTTTGAACATATTCTGGGGATAAAAATGGGCAGATATTATAAGATTTATTCTTCTTCTGCCTTTCGTTTTATTTGATTTTATTTTGATTGCGTGTTTTTTGTTCTTTGTTGTGTATATTATTACAAATGAAATGAATAAATTTCTAAATAAATACATAAAGTAAATTAAAATAAAATACAATATATCCTCTCCTTCCTGTTCGGGAACATCTCGGGTTTCTCTAGCGTAGGAGGAGCTGGAGAGAAAGCGATGCCTGGGTTTCCCTCATAAAGCCGTTGCCACTCTGAGAGCCTAACCTCAGACAGGCAGACAAAAATAAATGAATGAATGAGAAGCCTCAATTGCCACGATGACATCTAGCCACGTCATTTACAGGGAGTTCCCTCGCTCAGATGTCTCAGAAAGTTTCTGTAGAAATCAATACTTATCATCTAATTCTGGGTCACAAACTCCTATTGAACTACTGAGAACCTTGCAACCACATCTGATGGAACACGCCTTCTACTGTTCCTGACATAAATGGTCCATTTAACGGAGTCTTTCAGCTGTCAGAAAATATAATGCAGAGTGTCCTTTTAGTTTTACTGTTTGCTTTCTGCGACAGCTGGAAAACAGTGATGTAATTGCATATGCTCATTTGGTTGCAGCTGTTTAAGAGAAGAAAAGCTAAGCAAGA